GGTGGTTTTAGTCCAAATCTACAGTGATATGTTCTCTTTGCTGGATGCTGACACATTTGTTGAAATGATTCTTTACTGCTGTTTGAATGCTTGCTTGCATTGCTGGTAGTATATTTTATCCTGTACTGTGATTTATATTTTTATTTTGTAAACTGCCTTTAATATGTTGGGATACTGTGAAAAGCCCTTTTTCAGTGTTTAAACAACCAGCACATTCTAACATCTCCAGAATCTATAGTTCTTTGAATATGTTGCATCTGTGTGTGTGTGTGTGTGTGTGTGTGTGCGTGCGCATACTTTACTACAAAAATAAAAAGAACAGTGTATATGGAACCTATCTGATATACAAATCATGATCATATTTAAAGTCTCAAACAGAAAATATTTTTCCTCAATTCTGGAAATTAGATTTGACACCAAACTCATACACCTATTATCAAAACTGTAGCTGGTGAGAGTGTATAAAGGCAAAGTCTTCCAATGCAAGCTTGCCTTTACACACTCTCCCCAGTTATAGGTCTGTCAGTGTGAAAACACAGGAAATATACTTCCCTGAACATAAGCCCATAGAGCACAAGGAATGCATGACAACAGCAAAATGAGGTTGCAGGTCTTCAGATAACTCAGAACTGAAATTTTGCTCCAACAATGTGTGCAGCCTATTTGAGCCCTTTTGACACCTTTTGGGTCTGACTCCTCTTCCAGTGCTCCAACCCTTGAGAAGCAGACTGATTTATAATGGGATATTCCCTAGTCTGGTGCCTAGCACTCCTCCACCTCTGATACATGATATGTACTAGCAAGAAGGCACTATGGAATGAGAGATCCTGGGTCAAGAAGGGACATTTTTCTCAGGAGAATTTGGCAAAGGAGGCCAAGTTAAAGAGCCTCTTGTTCAAGAGAATCCTTTTTGAAAATTTCCAGATTAGACCTAATGATAGGGCCAGATTCTACCAGCTTCACAGCCTGTACTACCCATCCACCTGAACTCATTGGCTCTTCTTATTTGGGAAAGGCTTGGGGTCATATCACACAAAAGAATAACTAGAGGAAAGGAGCCTGTGGAAATAAATGAATATTCCATAAGGCCAAGAGAAGTTGTTAAAGTGTTGAGACCCACTGAAGAAAAAATGGAGGGGTACAAAGTATGGTGACTTTTTCAATAAACTGAGATATAAAGGTATTGCTCCAAACTACCCATACTGTGCATGCTGGGAATATTATTGCATATGTACCTCCCCAAAAGTAAAGCATATTACAGGGAGTCACCTGTCAAGAGACTACATAACATAAAACTGTGTGTTGTTATTCATGATTAACTAAAGTTTGTTGTAACTCAGCGTTAATTTTTTAATATGTTCCTTTCAGATGCATGGATTTAGAACATTTTTCCCACTGAGAGCCACTTTTGCTGAATCATTCATTGCCACCTAGATTATTCAACTTAGCTTGTGATTATGCTATAATTTTTCAGTTATGCCATCCTTAGTATACCCTAAATTTAGCAAAGTTTTTAAAATACTACCCATACTATAGATATTTTATAGCCAGTTTAACACATCTGAAATCTGTTCCTCCCTCCACAGAATGATGTACAAGGAATTCTCATTTTATTCTAACAAAACTTCTGAGCTAGGTTGGCCTAGTAATGTACCCAAGGTTATCCAAAACGCCAAGGGATATAAACCTGACCAGCAGATTCTGCAATACAGGATTTTAGCTAGTTAGCTAGCCAGTCAGCCAGCCAAAGTGATTCCCTTTCATCCCTTCTGAACAAGTGTAGACAACGCTAAAATTTTCTGAATTTTCTTACATGAGAAAATTAGTGCTATAAGCCCAGACAAGCAGTCAGTGATAATTTTTTGCCAAAAGAGCCAGGTTCCAAACAAACATGAACAATGTCCCATGTGCATGCTGGAGCTGTTCAGCCCCACTCCCCCCTTACCACCATATTCTGTTGCATTCCTCAAAAGGCCATTTCAAAAGGTTTAGGAACATACAGAATTCAATGCATTGCCACACTGAGCACATCATGAAGAGCTACAGTGAGAACATTGTCTCTGGCAACCACAAGGAAGTAGTTATAGTGTTCTCATGCATCCCTTTGGATCCAGTCAGATAAAAATTCTATTTATAAGAAAAGTACTATTTTGGTGGAAACAAACTGTTAGTAAAATAATACTAAGTCTTCTACAACAAAATGTTCTCAGACTGAAAAACAAGATAGCAGTTGACAGAAGAAACCAACGTGGCTCCACAAAAGAATCAAGTTGACCTAATGTATAGGAAATGGAAGGAAGTGCAGGCAACAACAGAAGAGTTTAGACAGGTGGCAGAAAAATACAGGAATAACATTAGGAAGGATAAAGCTGAGAATGAGCTGAGGCTAGCAAGGGATTCCAAAATCAACAAAAATGCTTTCTTGTGTTATGTACACAGTAAAAGAGAGAAAAGAAATGGTGGTTCAGCTTCTCGATGGGAGGGTGAATTAATAAGAGATGACAAAGAAAAGCCCAAGTGTTAAATTTCTAGTTTGGCTTAGTCCTTTTCCCAAATGAGGTTTATGATGACCCTATCAGAAATGAAGTACAAACTGAAGGGACAGGATTCAAACTTGAGATTAATAAACAAATGGTCACCTCATTACAAATTCAATTCTCCCGGGCCTGATTAACTTCTTCCTATAGTATTAAAGGAACTGGTGGAAAAATCCCAGAACTGCTGTCTATTAGCTTTGAGAAATCATGGAGGGTGAACTGCAGATGACTGGAAGAGGACTCACGTCACTATCTTCAAAACAAGCATAAAGGAGAATCCTGAGAACTAGTCAGACCAGTTAGTCTGACATCAATCCCTAGGAAAATTCTGGAGCAAATAATAAAGAAGTCAGTCTGTAAGCACCTTGAAGACAATGGAGTAATTACTAGAAGCCAGTGTGGATTTATCAAGAACAAGTCTTGCCAGACTAATCTGATCTCATTTTTGACTGGGTAACCTCCCATGTGGACTGTGGGAATGCTGTGGATGTAATATATCTTGATTTCAGAAAAGCTTTTGAAAAAGTTCCCTGTGACATTCCTATCAGAAACTAGTTAAAAGTGGCCTGATAGAACAACTGTCAGGTGGATCTATAGTTGGCTACAGAATCAGACTGAGAATGTTTCTCAATAACACCCTCTCAGACTGGGAAGATGTAATGAGTGGGGTACCACAGGGCTCAGTCCTGGAGCCAGTGCTCCTCAATGTTTCTATTAATGACTTGGGCAAAGAGGTGCAAGGAATGCTGATCAAATTTATAGATGACACAAAACTGGGCAAAATAGATAATACCCTGGAAGACAAAAACAAATTTCAAAGTGATCTTGATAGGCTGGAGCACTGGGCTGAAAGCAACAAAATGAAATTCAGTAGGGACAAACGCCAAGTTAAACACCTAGGAAAAGAAACCAAATGCTTCACTGCAAGATGGGAGATACTAAGCTAAACAATACTGCAAGTGAGAAAAATCTTGGAATTGTTGTAGATCACAAGTTGAATATGAATCAACAATGTGATGTGGCTGCAAAACAGGCAAGAGCAATATTGGACTACATTAATAGAAGTATAGTTCCAAAGCATGTGAAGTACTGGTTTCCCTCTATTTGGCACTAGTTAGGCCCCATCTTGAGTACCATGTCCAGTTCTGGGCTCTCCCATTTAAGAAAGATGCAGACAAACTGGAAAATGTTCAGAGAACAACAAAGATGATCAGGAGAGATTGAAAGAACTGAGCATGTTAGCCTTAAGAAGACTTGGGAGAGATAGAATAGCATTTTCCAAATACTAGAAAGGCTGTCATACTGCAGAGGGCATCCATCCCAGAGAGCTGGATACAGAATATTGGGCTTAAGTTACTGGAAGCCAGGTTCCAGCTAGACATCATAGAAAAAAAATCCTGAATGTCACAGTAGTATGGCAATGGAACCAATTACCTAGGGAGGTGGTGGTTTCTCCCACACTGGAGGCATTCAGGAGGCATTTGGACAGCCTGTATATTGAGCTATATACCTGGAGTTACCTGGAGCTATATATTGAGCAGGAGGTTTGACTCAATGACTAATTCAATGGAATAGGAATGACAGGCCACTTCCAATCCCACTATTCTATGACTCTATGATTGACTTCATCATCATATTCTATACTGCCCAAAAACCCAAGCTCTCTGAGCTGTTTATAATGAAATATAGCTGTATTAATATGTCTATAACCACTAACCAGATATTTAGAAATTAGTATTTAGATATCTAGAATGTTGTCCTTCAGGAGGGATTTTCATCCATAAACAAGTTGCAACACCTACCTTCTCAGCTGGAGGGACAACTCATGTTTGAATCAGATTATTACTGAAACTCCAGGGGAAAACCAGCAGACTAAGAACAAAAAGCTCTGATAATCAAGAGGTGAATTATTGTACTAAAATCCAAATGCAGCCCAGTCACATTTCTCTCCCAATGCATTTCTGAATCTAATTATTGTTAGGTTTCACTGAAACCAATGGAGCAAGCTATTTGTGACTAACTTCAGTGCCACTGTTTTCAACAGCACTTGGTCATGACTACCTTTGAACTAAATCCGGACCTGGTTATTTTAAAGAATAAAAAAAGAATGTGGATCTGTAGTGCTCTGGGAACCGTCGAAACTGTGACATTGAGACTGCCTACTATGTCACTACCACCCATCTGGAATCAGGTAAGTTGTTTCACTAGGCCTTTAACTAGTAAATAGTGGCTTATACAGATGGTAGCAGCAATAATCCTCAAAATTTACTTGCAAGGACTCCTTGCATACAGTCATATCAAGTCCTTATGTTACTTTTGACTGAAACAACTTTCAGATCTGAAAAAATACAATAATTGCTTAGGTATTACAAATATGCTGTATAAATATTCCTAAAGAAAAATAATCTCAGACATGAATATTTGAGATATTCCATTATTTTCCCCACTTTTTAATAGCCTTACCTTATTGTGTTTTTGCTGGTGCCTTGTCCTGGTATCCAAAATATGATAGGGAGTTTCAGAATCCCCATTTAGATAATAGACAAGTCTTGAAGGCAATGTGATTTCTTTCTGGAACACACTGCTGTGACTGTTATATTTGCTGCTGCTGCTACTACTGTTAGTCTGTTGAAATGCAGTCTCTTCATCTGCCAGGGTCTTTTCTATTTCACCTGCAGTTTCATTCCAATGCAGAGCTATGAAACACATAGAAACCTACCATGAAATCACAGTGGAACTTTTAACAATATGCCTTAAATTTGTCTAATTTCCTTTCATGAAAAACAAACAACATCCCTCTGCATGTATTCAAAGTGTTAATTAAAATGTGAGCATTTTTAATCATACATTTTTCACTTTTATAATGTTTTACATTGTAATAGATGTATGCAAGCGCATAATATGCAAGGACTCACCCTATAAAAAGAAAATGTTTAATAAATATCCAACCACTCGTGACTATCTCTACCAGTGTTCTATACAAATCGTGGGCATGTAGAACAACTCAAACCCTTGATTCATGTGAATTGAATGTTAATTAAGTCCCTTTACATAAGTGCTACTTTTCACAAAACTTTAATCACCCAGTCCTAATCAAAATTACCAGAGAAAAGTCATAGTATACTAAGGACTTACTCCTGAATAAACATGTATGTTTCGCGTAACAAGCACATATTCTTTTGCAGACAAAATTCAAGGGTTTTGGGTGACCATCCCCAGGTACATTCCATTTGATTCAATGGCCAATATCCAAAAAGCAATTTCTAAAGTGGGAATCACTTGTTATTCTGCTTGTTACATTTGAAGATCCTGCACAAATGCTGCAACCCTGAAAACCAGCAAACAGCGTTTTGCTGCTGCATCAGCACCTTTGGATGTAATTTCTTGCCCACCATCATAAACTAAGAAGAAACTGCCATAGAGACATATAAAAGCACAGAATCCATGCTGTAAAAAGAATAATGTCATATATTCTTTTACACTCACTCATGCATACATATATATAAATTGAGAGTGAGGAAAGGCAGAAGAGAAATGTAACTGGAGCTCAACGACTCCAACCAAAAAGAAAAGGTAACAGAAGGCCATTAGATGTAGAAGACCGTGTATGGAAAAACGTCGCGCTTATTATTACAGTCGTGCACGACAGAGGGCAACATCCCGGACGCTGCGGCTGCTATGGCAGAAGAAGAGAGATTACGGGGGACTGACACACACATGCCAGGGAAGAGCAGAACAAACTGGCCTTTCTCGGCACGGGCATCGCACGGGCAAGACAGAACGCTGGACCGCGGGGCATAATTAAGGCTCTCCTCCTTCCCGCCCCCTCCTTAGTCACAAACCCGTCGAGGGGGGAAGTGAAGCGAAATGGGGTGGGTGGGAGAGGCTGTAGCGAAGGATGGGCTTCCGCAGGTTTCCACGCTGCACTCACCGGTATCCGCAATGACTCCCCAGCCCTGTGAAAGCAGCAGCGTCAAAAAGAAGAGGCGGAAGATGCCAGGTCGGGGCCTCCGTGCCGGGCAAGAGGCTCCGGCGGTGGAGGAAGGAGCGGTCCGAGGGCGGCTGCTGCTCTTGTGGTGGCGGCCGGAGAAGGGCTGCCGCAGAGGACTCCTGCCAGGCGTCTTCATGGCTCATAGCTTCCCCCGGGCGGCGGCGGCGAGTGGCGGCGGCGGTGAAAGTGAGGCGCAGGAGACGGACTATGGGGAGTGGCGGAGGCTGCAGCCCCTCCGACGTGAGGAAGGCGGCAGCCGAGCGGCTCACGGCCGCGATCGCGGCGCCTGTTCCCCCATAGCGAACGGGCGAGCGAGCGGCTGAGCAGTTGGGAGTGGCGCGTCGTCTCTCCCCGCGCGACGCTGCTGCTCCTGCGGCGGCTGCGGCGGCACTCGCCTCGCGCCTTTCCAGCCGCCCACCTCCCCCGCCCGCTGCTCGCTTGGCCGTTCCCGAGAGCAAGCGCGAGGCCGGGCGGGCGGGCAAGCGCACGCGCACCCCCCACGCTCAGGAGCCGCGCACGCTCTCAACCACCGCTGCGGCTGCTACGCGGGGCGCCGCTGTCCTCTGCTGCCCCTTGGCTCCGCCAGCTACCACTCGCTCGCGCTCCCCTCGCCCACTCAGCCATTCACCTTTCAAGGCCCCGCGCGCCGCGCCGGGTGACGTCGCCTCCCAGCCCCATTCGTTGGAGCTGCGACAGCCGCCCGCTTCGTCAGCCGGGCTGGTGGAGCGCGCGCGCACCCCGAGCGAAGGAGCCCGGGCTGCGCGTCGGGGAGGCAGAGGAAGGCGCGTGCGGAGAGGGAGGGGAGGACGTTCCCCTGCACCAGGTCCCTCCTAATGGCCCCCGAGCCGAGCGATGGCCCGCTTGGTGGCACGGACGCACCCAACGAGATGCAGGCAAAGGGGAGCGCGCACGCGCGCTCCCCCTGCCGAGTGCGGCGCAAGGTGATAAGCAGGTGCTGTGATGCGGCATCTCGGCACCAAAAGCCTGCATGCGGATTCCTCCGTCCCTATCCCTCCTCACTTCGTGCCAATGTAATTCTTGCCGTGCTGGCTTCCTCCCATTCGGGTTTTGTTGCAGAGACACCCACAGAGAGAGAGAGAGCACGCAGCTCCATTATTTAGCTTCCATATTCCCAAATCTCAAGCTTTTACTGCTCGTAGATTCTTTTGATTTCCACGCTTTTAAATTTTTTTCAGATGGCTTGGTACAGATAACGCGCAGATATTTTTTTTTCCTCGTCAGTTTCTTCTCCCCATCATCCCCACCTTATTTCTCCAAAGATTTTCGTGCCTGTCCACATCATGCAATGATGTGTTAAGCCCACTCCAGAATTACACCCCCAAAAGTGTAAGATAGAAACATAGAAACAGAGCAAGTCAGAGGGGGCCTTCCGGGCCATCTAGTCCCCCGGCTCCACTCACGACACACCCACCATGTGCATGTCCAGCCTATCTTTGAACACCCTCACCAATGGGGCCTCAACCACCTCCCATGGAAGCCCATTCCACACCCTTGGGGTCCTAACTGTCAGGAAGTGCTTCCTGGCATCTAAATGGAACCTTGGCTCCCTGAGCTTTGCTCAGTTGGAGTGTGTCCTGCCTTCCTCTGCAGGGGAGAACAGGTCTCTACCTAGCTCCATGTGACACACCCTCGCATACCTGCATGTTGCCAACAGATCTCCGAGTCTCCTTCAGACTGAAGAGACCCAGTTCCCTCAGTCTTGCCTCACATGGCATCCCTTGCAAACCGGCCACCAACCTTGTGGCCCTGTGCTGCACTGACTAACCTAGCTATATCCTTCCTGTAATGATGGGCCCAAAACTGAACACAATACTCCAGTTGCGGGCGCACCAGAGTCGTATACATTGGTAGTGCTACAGTGGTACCTCGGCTCACGAACGCCTTGGTTCACAAACAAATTAGGTCACAAACAAAAATTTCATTAAAATTTTGACTTGGATCGTGAACTCCGCATTGGGTGGCAACCAAGATCGCAGCCATCTCCCTGCCCCCCCGCCGAGTGGGGAGATGGCCACGATCGCAATTCTGTTCGTGCAGGGAAGATATGCGTGATCACAGGCACATTCCTGCAGGAAAGATGAGCGCAATCTTGGCCATCTCCCCCGTGGCTGTGCTGTGCTGCGCCCATCTTTCCTGCAGCAGCGCGCCCATGATCACGCACGTCTTCCCTGCACGAACGGAATTGCGATCGTGGCCATCTCCCCACTCAGGCGGGGGAGGGGAGAGATGGCCGTGATCGCAGTTGCTTTCATGCAGGGAAGGCATGTGTGATCACAGGCACTCTCCTGCAGGAAAGACAGGTGCAATCTCAGCCATCTCCCCCCACCCCCCAACCAGCACGATTGGGGCCATCTCCCCAGCCCCAGCACACCCCGTTCATGTCCGTCTCTCCCTATCCCAGCACGCCTCGTTCGCGTCCATCTCTCTGTCCCCCAGTGTGCCATTTGCACCCACCTCCTCCTCCCCCAGTGTGCCCATGATCACGCCCATCTCTCCCCCGCACCCCCCCAGCGTGTCAGGATGACGGACACCTGCAGGGATGACAGGCATGTGCAGGGATGACAGGCACAATCTTGGTCGTGCTGGGGTGGCAGGGAGATGGCCCGGCTTGTGCTCGGGTGGGGTGGGGGGGAGGAGATGGCAACGATCTTTGTTGTTGTCACTTTGCTTCACATTTTTCTAATTTAAAAAATGGTTGCAGAACGGATTAATCTTATTTACATTGAACCTTATGGGGAAATTTAACTTGGCTCATGACCAATTTGGGTCACGATCAGACTCCTGGAACAGATTAAGTTCGTGAGCCAAAGTACTACTGTACTTCTCTCGATCTAGAAGCCACACTTCTGGTTTGCAACTGAGGGTTGCGTTCACCGTCTTGATCACAGCATCACACTGCCGATTCATGTTTAGCCTGCAGTCAAGTGGCATCCCAAGATCCCTTTCACAAGTGCTGCTCTCCAGCCACTTGTCCCCTAACTTATACTTATGACACCCATTCCTATGCCCCAAGTGCAAGACCTTGCACTCATCCACATTGAACGCCATCCTATTCTCTCCTGCCTACTTCCATGGTCTGTCCAGACCCTTTTGGATCGAGTACCTGCTCCTCAGTTGTGGCCACTGCTCCAGTTTTAGTGTTGTCTGCGAATTTGATCAGCACACTGTTCATCCCTTCTTCCATGTTGCTGATGAAAAGATTAAACAGGATCGGCCCCAGGACAGAGCCCTGGGGGACCCCACTTGTCACTGGCTGCCATCCTGATTATTTCCTACTAATAGTTACCCTCTGCTTTCGGTCAGTCAACCATTCCCTAATCCATCGGACAGTGCATTGGTCTATCTCAAAACTCCTCAGTTTCTCAACCAGGATATCATGGGGCACATTGTCAAAGGCCTTGCTGAAATCCAGGTAAACCACATCCACTGCATCCCCTCCATCTACCCACCTTGAAACCTTGTCATAGAATTCTACAAGGCTTGTCTGGCAGGACCTGTTTTTGCGAAACCCGTATTGTGTGATAGCCTTCCTTCCCTATCTAGCATCACTAGATCTCTTGCTATTATGAGCCTTTCCATTGTTTTTCCTACAATGGATGTGAAGCTAACTGGTCTGTAATTCCCCATGTCCCTTCTACTACCTGCTTTGAAAATTGGGACCACTGATGCCACCCTCCAGTCCTCTGGAACTTCACGCTGTTCTCCACAAGGCCTCAAAAATGGAGGCCAGCGGGTGTGAAAGAACCCCTGCTGACCCTCGAAGTACTCTCAGCTGTATCCCGTCAGGGCCTTGCACCTTTGTAACATCCAGTCCCTAAGAAGCCCCTCAACTTATAGGGGGTGACTCTAATCTGTGCCCCTAAGTCCTCGGTCTCATCTAATCCCCCATGTGGATCTCCCCCATCCTGCTTTGGGGAGAACACAGAGGCAAAATAGTCATTTAGCATCTGTGCCTGTTCCCTCGTATCAGTCACTGGATCTCCTTCCTCCTTATTTAGTGGTCCCACTACTTGTCTCTCCTTCCTCTTCCTATTTACATGCTGAAAGAAGCCCTTGATATTCTTGGCAAGTCTCATAATCAGCCTTAGCCTTGCGAAGAATCCTTCTGCAACGGGCCTCCTTCTCCCGGTATACCTTTTTGTCTATTTGCCCAGTACCCATTTCCTATGGAGGTTCCTCTTGTGTCCAATCCCTCTAACCACCTCCTTTCGCAACCATGGCAGTGCTCTCCTTTGCCTCCCCGCCTTACTAACTAGAGGTATCGTCAAGGCTTGCACCTCCAAAACCTCCCTTTTGAGTGCTGTCCACCCCTCCTCAACTTGCTTGCCTTCCAGTAACCTATCCCAGGAGACTTTCCCCAGTCTGGCCTTCAGTTGACCCTCTGTTTGAAAAACCCTTCATCTATAGCTTCTAGCAAGCGATGTGACCTTGCTGAATGAGTCTCCCAACTAATATCCGGGATATTGAAATCTCCCATAATTACTGTGTCCCTCCCCCGATATATCCTTCGAATCTGATCTGTCAGGACATCATCCAGGGTCTCAAGTTGACCTGGAGGGCAATAATATACCCCCACTGTCAGGTCCCTTTCCCTGTCAAAACCGCTTAGTTTCATCCAGACTGCCTCTACCAGATCCCCATCTGTGCTGCATTATATCTCACTACATCCTATCTCTTTCCTGACATACAAAGCTACACCCCCCCACCCCTCTTTCCCTTCCTGTCCTTTCTAAACAGGTGATACCCCTCGATGTTTACATTCCAGTCTTACCTTTCATCCCACCAAGTTTCCATGATCCCCACCCTCCTATTCCCAGGAGAGCTTCAAGCTCTTCCTGCTTATTACCTATGCTCCTAACATTGATGTATATGCACCTCAACTCCTTCTCACAGCTCACAGCTTCCTTTCTTTGGAATTCCCAGCCTCCTACTTCCTCCCATCTTTCCTGATACTGGCCCCCTCTTCGTAGGAGTCCTGTCAGTCCCTGCAGTACCTCTAAAACCCTGCTCCCAGAGCCCTGATCCTCTCCCCACATTTGTCCAGTGCAGACAAGTTTCTGGGGGGGCTGAACACGCCCCCCCCCCAGTTCAGTTTAAAGTTTTCTGGACAAAGCTCACTAGAGCATCTCCAAAGGACCTTTTCCCCATCCTCGTGAGGTGCAACCCATCCCTTACCAGAAGTCCATTGGCAAGAAACCGGGTGCCGTGATCGAGGAAGCCGAAGTGTTCCTTCTGGCACCACACCCTAAGCCAGTCGTTCACCTCAGCGACCCTCCTTTCTCTGCCTGGCCCAAATCCCTGGACCGGTAAGATCAATGAGAAGGCCACTTGGGCCTTTAGGTCC